AGTTCTCAACCTGTGAGTCGCAACCCCTTTGTAACAATGAAAATATATCCTGTGTATCAGATATTTACATTATGATTCATAACAGTAGGGAAATTATGGTTATGAAGTAGCAACATGAGGAACTGTATTAAAGTGTCCTGGCATTAGGAGGCTTTAGGAAGGTTGAGAACCACTGGCATAGAGGATTGATGTACAAAGGTGATGTGAAAACATTTCATCCCAGAATTTGCAGTAGCTCAAATTAACTTTCTAGCTATGGAAAAAAAAAAAACAACCCACTACCCTCATTTATAAGCAACATTGGATAATTTTAAGTAGTTTGAGAAAATGTTTGTGGTTAGAGGGTCAGGGTTGTCCAGAGCCAGGACTAGTTATGTGGGAATTGTGATTGGCTGGATTTGGGGAGGAGAAACCCATGGCCAGATTCCAAGCCACTGAAATCCAAGCAGAGTCTAGGATGCTGCGTGGGCATGGTTGGTGCTGGTTTATTTTATTCCTGAAAGAGGCCTAGGAGCGACTCTCTCATGCTTCCAGTTGATCTGGCCTTTTCCTCCTCTTATGTTTCTGTTCCATGTTTACACTTGACATAAACTTTGTAGAGCACACTCAGGTCTGAAAATTCTCGCATCTACTGTGATGGTCAGATGCTGACCCTGTGATGCTGTGTAGCATTTCATTTTCAAGGCATACAGAGTCTCATATTTCATGTGGATGGGGGCCGGGAGGTCTTTTGGGCAAGTTGCCATCTTTTTATTGTTCCAGGAGTTTGGTGGTAGAGTATTTGAACCTTCACCTGTCAGAATCACTTCAGAAATGAGGACTGCCCTCCCTCCAGCTTCTTAAAATAGCAGAATGAAGATATCATTTATCCCATTGGTACCATAAAGGGGGCTTTCCCATTTGGACACCCACCTTGAATTCATTGGAAACAGAAGTTCTGGGCATTGTATTTTTTAATAAATTTGGCTTAGACTTTAACAGGGTCATATTTCTCCCAAAATCTTTTCGAGAAAAGACTTGTGTCTTATTGCTTTAAACCAACATGTGTAAGTTGGGTAAAAATAGAGCAAACTGGTTTCATGTTTTGATTTATGAATTAAATCTGTAAATTTGCTTTGGAAAGGTATTTAACATATAACTCAGCAAAGCTTGAGTTTTGCAGAATGATGTTATGGCTGAGTGAGATTTGCTAACCTGGTCAAACCCCTCATGGTGCAAGAGAACAGTACCTCAAAGCTACCAGGCCATGACCGTTACCCTGAGAGTATGCACACTTTAATTCCCTCATCCCTCAACTTTTTGAAGGCTACTCTTCTCCTTTTAGCTTGGATAAAGGAAACTGGCATAGAAAATTGTTTGATCTGAGATTTCTGATGATTAGTATGTGGTAACTCTGTAGTCAATGGCACTTCAAAGACAACTGCATAATAGGACATCTAATCCAAAAAATTCAGTCACAGTCAAGGACTTTCAGCTGGAGAAATGTCTGGTTCCATGGGATGAATTCTCGCATATCCAAGTTCTGGGCAGGGTCCAGGGTTTTATGCAGACCATTGATGCTTGATTGGCTACAGGACCAAAACAAGGGCTGGTTTCATGGTCACATGACCTATGTGTTCAGAACTGCCCCACCCTTGGTTAAATGCTATGCTATTGCCGTCTTGTAGTTCTTAATTTTTGGACAAGGTGCCCTGCATTTTCATTTTTCTCTGAGCCCCAAGAATTATGCAGACAGCATTATAACTTTGGGAAGGTGCAGTGGTTTCTGCCTGTAATCCTAGCACTCTGAGAGGCTAAGGCAGGATTGCTTGAGCTCAGGAGTTCAAGACCAGCCTGAGCAAGAGTGAGACTTCAACTCTACTAAAAATAGAAAAATTACTGGATATTGTGGTGGGCTCATGTAGTCCCAGCTACTTGGGAGGCTGAGGCAGGATTGTTTGAACCCAGGAGTTTTAGTTTGCTGTGAGCTAGAATGATGTCACTGCACTCTACCCTGGGTGACAGGGTGAGACTGTTGTCTTAAAAAAAAAAAAAAGTTACTACTTACACAATTCATCACACAGCAAATCGCTGGTGGGCACCTTAACTTTGAGTGAAGAGTGCTTGAATTTTGTTTGTCTTACCAGCCAATTCATGGTAATCTTTATTTTGTCCAGTTTAGATCAAATTTTATGAAGGCGAACTCAGCAATTGTGAAATTACCTCTTATTTCTCTGGGATTGAGTGTGGGCTTTTGAAGAGGGTCTTTTGTTGCAAGGGGAAATAACAATAATCAGGATAATTAAAAAAAAACCTTCCTTCTTTCAGTTTCACACGGCATACCACACTCTCCTTATCAGCATGTGCCTCGCTTTTCCACGTGGTTGGAGTTGGGTTTCAGTAAGCGTGATTTGGCATGTGTTTAACCAATGTTCGGGTGGCCGATGGTGGGTAGGGGTCTCCAAGGTGAAGTGGCTCAGTTACTCCCTTACAGGTGCTCACAGTTCTACAGTAGGGAAAGGACTCCGGCATAGTCCATGCAGAGAGTAAAGTGTCAGGATCAGGTGCTTGAGCGGTGAGCTAGGGTGTGTCCGCAGGAGGATGGGGTGAAGGGTCTTCCTATCACAAGGAATACAGAGAACACATGGAGAGGTCCAGGGGTTTAAAGCAAGATATAGTCCTGGAGTCTTTGAGACTGGAGTAGAGTATGGTGTGAGGGCAACAAGGGTGGAAAGTCAACTGGGTTATGTAAGTTCTGAAGGTGCCTTATGTTTAAAGAGTTGTGAGCAGCAGGGACCACTATGAATTTGGAAGCTCAGAGGTCCCTGATGAGAAAGAGGGTTCTGGGGTTATGTGAGCAGTGATTCAGCCTCATGGCTGACAAAGACTCTGAGAGAGAAGACAAGGGACCATTTATTGGGAGGATATTGAAAAAGATTTGCCAAAAGATTTAGGTAGGGATAGAATTCACACCCTGGAAAGCAGGTGTTTGAAGGAAGAGTTCAAGACATTTGTGATACAATATTTTCAGCCTGGGGTCCTTGTGGAATAAGAATGGCTGTAGAGGATGTCTGGTGGGGAGGGGATGTAAAGAAATGGAGAAGAGAGAGATCTTGAAGACAATGTTTGAATTTTGGTGGGTGCAGATGGAGATTGGAAAGAGGAGGAGCACTGCAGAGAAGCCAAGGGTGGGGGGCGGGGAAGCGGAAACAAATGGTAGTGAGATTCCTGAGGTGCTGGCTTAGGGGTATGGCATGTTCTGTTAAGCAAGGGGAGGACTAGCCAAGACTTGGGATAGTCACTTATCCTCTTGGCAAGAGAGACTTTGCCCAATTATATTAGCTTAACTGTTAATGGTTTCCTCTTATGAGTGACTGACTTGTCAGACTAGCAAAGATGAAAATGATAATACCCAGCAGTGGGGAAATTTGAAGGGAAACTGGCCTCTTAAACCCATAGGTGGGACTATAAACAGAAACAACTTTTTGTTGAGAAAAGATGTCTGGGACATAATGATGAATGGAAAGAAAATGTTTTAGATTTGTTCTTTTGTATAATATAAATTCAGGCAACAAACACATACAAATGTGTGTACACCAACGTGGGGTGTAGTAGACTACCACCAGATACCGGCTGTTACCTCTGGAGAAGCAGTTACCCCTTTTTATTGTCTGCGTTTCTGACATGATTTCTTTAAAATTTCCAAATCCTTTTTATTGAAAATTTTAAGCAAACACAAAAGTAGAGACAGTAGTATAGTGCATTCTCATGTACCCACGATCCGATGACATCCATCAGCATTTTAGAGTCATATTTCATCTATTCTCATTCTCAAGTATTTTTTTTTTTAGCTGGGGCTGGGTTTGAACCCACCACCTCTGGCATATGGGGCCAGCGCCTTACTCTTTTGAGCCACAGGCGCCGTCCCATCCTCAAGTATTTTGAAGCAAACTCTAGCCTCACATTTTTTCACTGTTAAATATCTCAGTATGGTTTTCTAAAAGATAAGGACTCCATTCACTTTTTACAAGGAACGTGATTCACTTTGTATAACCCAAAGGAGTGACCGGGCCTCTGCCTTTCTCCCCAGACAGCAAAGCCATTGTGGATGGGAACCTGAAGCTCATCTTGGGCCTGGTATGGACGCTGATCCTCCACTACTCCATCTCCATGCCTGTGTGGGAGGATGAAGGGGATGACGACGCCAAGAAGCAGACACCAAAGCAGCGACTGCTGGGATGGATTCAGAACAAGATCCCCTACTTGCCCATCACCAACTTCAACCAGAACTGGCAAGACGGCAAAGCCTTGGGAGCCCTGGTTGACAGCTGTGCTCCAGGCAAGCATTGTGGCTAAACCATTTCTTCCGGAGGTTGATGCATGGGCCCTAAACATCTTGGTTTTCAGTGGCAACACTAGCTTTGCCATGATTTGGTATATTTCTCTGATTTTAGCCCATGTAAGATAGCTAATGGAGCTGAAAATAGCTCCGTTAACCCTTCTGAGAGTAGGTTTTCTACGTAGATCCATAGACATGTGTGAGCACTGAATTCGGTCATTTAGCTATTCCCAGTGGAGGCCTTGGAGATTGGAGCAGGCCTTGGGTTGAGCTTCCAGACTCTAAAGCCCTGTATCTTCCCACATTGGTGCCTAGTTTCCTGTTGGCTTTGGAGAAACATCTTACATGTTTCTAGGTGGCTTGGCATAAAAATCTTAAAACTTCCATGGAGTGGAAAGTACCCCTTTTTATTAACCACTGGTTTGACTATATATGGCTCTCTCCACCCTTTCTTTCTGCATTACTGTGAAACAGTGCTTGGTCAGGATCCACTTGGAGACCTTTCCACTCTTGATGGGCCTCTCTTTTCTTAGTGGTTGAGTGTACACCAAGGTTGTAATTATCCTCACTGGAAGGTTTAGATTGATGGGTAGAGTTTGCTGGTGCACATTCAGTAGAAAAACCAGAGCCAGTGTTTATACATACCCCCTAAAATTAATTTTAATTTAAGAAATCTTCTCTAATGCTCTCTTTGGCAGCACATATGCTAAAATTAGAAGGATACAGAGAACATTAGCATTGCCACTACACAAGGGTAGCATGCAAATTTGTGAAAGTAAAAAAGAACTACTCTATTAATCATATTTTCCATTTACAGAGTGTTCTGAATGTGCTGGGCACGTTAGGATTTAGTAAGCTAGTGGTTCCTAACACACTTAAAGCAAAACTAGCTGGTGTCAGGTGGGTAAGGAAGGAAGCTGGTTCAAGGCCTCATTCTTCCTTGAGAGCCAGTGTCATCCAGAAGTAGATCAAAGAGCCACAGTAGTTCATTTCCTAGTTCCTCTCCCTTACTTCCATCTAAAGACACATTTTAGGATACTTCTTTCCAGTTTAAACCTGGGAATTTTTACTGTAGTTCTGTACTTCTTGTGCATATCAGGGCTCTTAAGAGAATTCTAGTTTTGTGCCTTTAAGCAAGTAGATTTTTGCATCACACAGAATGCTAGCCCAGCTTTTTAAAGATAAATCTTGGACTACGGGCAAAACAATTTCTCCTGTAAAAGGCACTAGGCTTTTTATAAGCCGTGTTTATTTGTCAATGCCACACTTTTAAGGAACGGATAATCCCTATCTTAATGCAAGAAGATAGCACCTACGGGAGAAGTCTCAGCTAATGTAGGATCACTTCTACCTGGCATGCTCGTCTGTGATACTTTCTGCCCATTAAATAAATAACTCACTGAGATTTTTGGCAGAAATTATTCTCGGAATTAAGAGACCAAATAGCTTTGATTTAGGCACATGGCTTGCTTTAATCTCTTTGGGCAGCTAATGCTAAAAGATTTTTTGTGTTCTGTTGACAGGTCTGTGCCCAGACTGGGAGTCATGGGACCCACGCAAGCCCGTGGATAACGCGCGTGAAGCCATGCAGCAGGCAGACGACTGGCTGGGCGTCCCGCAGGTACATGCGAGCGTGCCGGGGCCCAGGAGGCCACCCCCGCCCACTGGCTTGTTCTGTCACTCTGTGCTTGCCGTTCTAGGTCAGGCAGGCACTCTGACCTAGGCATTAAACTTCAAAGAACACTGCCTGTGGTGTGCTCCCATGTTCCTCATTATGCCCGTAGTAATAGGTTCTCATTGACTTAGGTGCTTGTAGATCATCCAAAAATCTGTTTTTGTTGTTGTTGAGATAGGGTTGTCTGATTCTATTGTCCAAGTTGGAGTGCAGTGGTACGAACATGGCTCATGACAGCATCAAACTCCTGGGTTCAAGCCATCCTCTTGTCTCAAGCTCTCAAGTAGCAAGGACTGCAGGTGTGTGCCACCATATCTGGCTAATTTTTTTTTTTTTTTTGAGACAGAGCCTCAAGCTGTCACCCTGGGTAGAGTGCCATGGCATCACAGCTCCCAGCAACCTCCAACTCCTGGGCTCAAGCGATTCTCCTGCCACTGCCTCCCAAGTGGCTGAGACTATAGGCACCTGCCACAATGCCTGGCTATTTTTTGATTGCAGCCATCCTTGTTGCTTGGTGGCCTGGACTAGATCCGCACCCTCCAGCTCAGGTGTATGTGGCTGGAGCCTTAGCTGCTTGAGCCATAGGTGCCGAGCCTGGCTAATTTTTTTTTTTTTAAATTCCTTCTTGTAAAGATGGGGTCTCACTATGTTGCCCAGGCTGGTTTCAAACTCTTGGCCTTAAGTAATCCTCCTATGTCACCCTCCCAAAGTTCTGGGATTACAGGCAGGAGCCACTATATCTAGCCTAAGAATTTTTATGTCATTCTTCTTTTCTCACAGGCTAGCAAATTTTCTAGTATTCTCCAAATATTTTTATTTTATTTTTTTTTTTTGTAGAGACAGAATCTCACTCTGTTGCCCTTGGTAAAGTGCTGTGGTGTCACAGCTCACAGCAACCTCCAGCTCCTCGGCCTAGGAGATTCTCTTGCCTCAGCCTCCCGAGCAGCTGAGACTACAGGTGCCCACCACAATGCCTGGCTATTTTTTTTTTTGCAATTTGGCTGGGGCCAGGTTTGAACCCGCCACCCTCAGTACATGGGGCCAGCGCCCCACTCATTGAGCCAGAGGCACCGCCCTCTGTTCCAAATATTTTGAAGACTATCTTTAACTCCCAGACTACAAATATGGACCTTAACTGTTAGGTTGAGCCATAAGAAATTGCTAGTATTTGATGATTTTTTTCTCTGTCTATAGAAAAAGGTAATTTCAATATATTATCTTTAGAAAAGTCAGAGGACTTAGAACTGTAGAAAAAAATATAAAGCAGAATAACTGACCATTAATGGAAATTGTGGAAGAATTTGCAATGCCCATAATCCTATTATATAGGAGTATAACATGGGCACTCAGAAATCGAATATATCTTGGATATCATCTGCAGTAGGCATGTTGCCTAGTTGAGGTCCAGTCTTCCTAGCAGAGAGGGAAACTAATGTTTTCCTTCTAAAAACTCCCCCTAACAGGTAAGCATCCTTAGTCCCATGTTGAAAACCCTGGTCAAGAGTTTTCAGTGCCATGGGGTTGATGCCTTTGCTATAGGCTCCCTTAAGGTCTGAGTTGGTGTTCAGAGCTGAGTTCAGTGTATTTTGTAACAGGATTCCTCAGAAGGTAGAAAAACACGCCTATTGCTTTGGTTTGGTTTTGGAGTCTGTCTCTGCTACATGGCCCATTTCTTGGCTTGTCCACTCTCAGGAAGTGGTGTAGTATGTTTTTCATCTCTGCGTAAACCTAAAACCATCTCCTTTTGACGTTCATGTGATGTTGGCATGGTAAAAGTTGTTGAAGGAGCTGCCTAGAAGAAATTCCAAATCAGCACACACCTACTTTTTATGGAATGTATTGAAGGTGACTGTTCAAACCCAAGTAGCTATTTCATTCCTGCGGCTAATCAGCAGAATGGTTTGGGAGAGGGAAGTAGGATGCATCTGTTGTTCATTGCGGTTAGTTAACCTGGCTCATGAGACGTCTTCTGTTCATACAAGGAAGTGGACTTTACCTCCTTAGCCCTTTATTGGAGGCAGGGAGGACTTTGAGTGCTGGGGTTGGCCAGGTGAGGAAACTGAGGCAGTAACACCTTCAGGGAGGTCACCTGTCCAGTTTGAGCCTAATCTTTCTTGTAAACTGAATTATCAGGAAAAATCCAACCCCTCTCTATTTTTTTACTTTTATTTTTTTTGAAACAGAGCCTCAAGCTGTCACCCTGGGTAGAGTCCTGTGGCATCACAGCTCACAGCAACCTCCAACTCCTGGGCTTAGACGATTCTCTTGCCTCAGCTTCCCAAGTAGCTGGGACCACAGGAGACTGCCACAGCACCTCGCTATTTTTTGGTTGCAGCCGTCATTGTAGTTTGGCGGGCCGGGCTGGATTTGAACCCACCAGCTCAGGTGTTTATGGCTGGTGCCTTAGCTGCTTGAGCCACAGGAGCCAAGACCCTCTCTATTTTTTTAATGGCTCCTAATAAATTAAGACCAAATATCTAATATGTGTTTATCTTTTTTAAATTTTAGTTGTTTTATTAGTGTTAATAGAGTTTTAGGAGAGTTAATAAAGATATAGTCCATGGATATATGAGAGCAAAGGAAGAAGCCAGTTAATTGGTGGGTTTTTGTAATACTCTCTAATCTAATATGTGCTTGTTTCTTTTTCCTGACTTTCTATAGCCTATCCCTTTATCCTTTCTGGGAATTTTGACCTGGGGAGTTAGTAGACTTGTGGGAGGGGAAACAAACCTCTGGGATTACATGGTATATTTTCTGGAATGGGTTCCCCAGCTTCCAAAGAGGCCAGTAAACACCTCTAAAAGGTTAAAAAACACTGATCTTGATGTATCCACTTAATGTAATTTTACTTGCCGAGAAGCTGACTCATTTAATATTTATAGTGCTTGGTTTAAGAGACAGTTACAAAAACTTCATTAGTTGCAAAGTCATGTGTCCTGGGTATTCCTCCATCTAGGTCATCACTCCTGAAGAAATTATTCACCCAGATGTGGATGAGCACTCGGTTATGACTTACCTGTCCCAGTTCCCCAAAGCCAAGCTCAAGCCAGGGGCTCCTCTTAAACCCAAACTCAACCCAAAGAAAGCCAGGGCCTACGGCAAAGGTAAGTGCTGGTCCTGTTGATTTGAGAGTTGTCCTCTGGTGTTGGAGATTATTATGAGGCTTTAGGAAGAATGTTCTCAGAATCAAGAATGTATAGGTTTAATTCCTAAACATACTCCAAGCCTCCTTTGTCACTGTTTTTAGACCTAAAGAGCCATTTATGTATGACCATCTTATTGTGCCTTGTGAATCTTGTTGTTTTAAGAACTGCTTCTGGGGTTGGCTATGGTGGTTCATACCTGTAATCCCAGCACTTTGGAGGCAGGAAGATCACTTGAGCCCAGAAGTTGGAGGCTGCAGTATGCTATGACCGTGCCACAGTGCTCCATCCTGGGAGACAAAAGCGAGGCCCTGTCTCAACAAACAAACAAATAAAAAACAAAACATGCTTTGCTTTCCTGTGACAGAGAATGATAAGTTTGCTATGTTGTAGTTTTAGTGTAGTAACCCTGGGACTAAGAAAGCGGTGTTGCTCCCCTTTTTCAGAAGTGGAATCAGAGACCTGGTCCACAGAGTAAATGGGTAAGGGGGCCTCAGACCCCACAATCTGTGCTGAGGAGAGGCCTGGAGCCGGGTCGTCTGGCTGCTGCTTCATTTCTCCTTCTGCCTCAGATTTCCAAAGGTGGGAGCTATTGTGAACCCCTGGTAGATACTTCCTTGCCAAGGCATCCTGTTTATGACTCTGTGGGACACCATTCTGCTCCAAACATTAGAGTGGGTTAAAGCTATTTGGAGGCATTTGGTGTTGATTGGCACATAACTTCATGCACACTAGCTTTTTGAAGAAAACAGTAGTAGATGGTTGCATAATGTGGTTTCTGGTAAAACTCAGTGCAGCTAGATACAACTTTTTTTTTTTTATGGTGAGGAGAAGGAGTGTGTTTTATTTTTCTTTTTTTCCTTCTGTTTCCTTTTCCCTTTTCCTTTCTTTTTTTCTTTAGGATAGGGTCTCACTCTGTCACCCAGCCAAGAGTACAGTGCCCCGATCATAGCTCACTATAGCCTCGAATT